AATTAAATAAGAATTACTTTTTTAAACAAATTCTTAACCTAACTGTTAAGTAATAAATTGTCATTTTAATTTTAAATAAAAACAGATGATATAAAAAACTTTACAAAATAACACTCATAATGAAGTAATGTTATAAATCATATATGCTAAAAATGATAATGAACTGATATTTTAATTTACTTACTTAAAAAGATGCTCGATATTTCATTAGCTCAACAAATTCTTGTTTTATATGCCACTTGAATTGACGCTAAAATTATTATATTAATATTATTTAATAACTCACTTTCGAAAATCACTTCTGTTTCAACTGCACTACACACGCAACTGAAAGTGTGATCGTCAACTAACATCTTACAAATTTCACTGCAATGAATACCCTATTCATTTCAATCTGTTCCATTAAAAACCTATTATAAAGACATTAATATGGAAGACAATGTTTTAATATTAGAGAATCATTACCATCATTCTAATTGTTAGAGTAATTTAATTTGCCATTTGTTAAATGTCAAATGGTACTTTCTTCACTGTCTGTCTGAAAAAGTGATTGGTCTTTTTCGACGTTAAGCTATAAATTGGTTTTTAATGCTAATTTATTATTTATGGGTGATTCTCTCAAAAAGAACAAATTATTTGTGCACAATTTTTGGACGAGGTTTTTGTTAAAAAATAATAACATTAATTTCAATTAATAAACATTCTCCCAACCATACGATAAAATTCAACAAATTTTTATGGGATCACTAAAGAAAATTTCAAAAAAATGGCAAACAACTGAATTATTGAATGAAAACTAGTGTTAAAAGTCCATTCCGTAACATCAGTTTTTATTCAATATTTCAGTTATTTTACCTTTTTTTAAAATTTTCTTTAGTGGTCCGATTGAAAATTGTTAAATCATAACGTATGGCTGACAGAATTTTAAGTAATTTCAATTAATTTTCATATTTTTTAACAAAATATCTTAAAAGCGTAATTTGTCCTTTTTGAGAGAATCACCCTTATACAATAATTGTGATTAATTAATAAGCCATTTTTAATAAATGAATATGAGACACATGAATAATGCCTAAAATTAATTTGTTAGAATTTTTATTTGATTGAATCCAGATAGATATTTCTTTTAGCCGAATTAGTTTCAGCTGTTCCATTGAAACTTCAAAGGAACAGCTTACTCGACTTGGACCTGGCCTTAAACCACTTTTGTGTTACATGAGTTTTATGGAACCGAAAATTTACTTCACAGAATTTTTATTTGCTTAAATTTTCATTTATCATATTAATAGTAATGCAAATGAATTTTTGTTATGTAGAATTTCATTGTATACAATTTTCTTTTAGAATGTTCGGGAAGCATGAAAAAGTTCTAAAAATTAATTGTTAAAATTTTCATTGGGCCTAATTTTATTTTTCAAAATTTTCATTAAACGTATTTTCTATATTTCTTAATGTTTATATAACCGAAAGTTCACTTCAGATAATTTTTCTGTGTTCTAATTTTCATTTGTCAGAAATTTTATCTGCTCGAGTTTTCATTTAACATAATAAACATTTAAATGAATTTTTTTAGGTAGAATTTCATTACAAAGAATTTTCTTTCAGAGGAATTTTCATTTGTTCGAATTATTATTTGATAGAATTACCATATAACCGATTTTTTACTTAATCGCTAAATCATTTAAGAAAATTTTTTAGTAGTAACATTTTCATTTGTACAAAATTGCAAACGAGCAAACAAACAATCGACAGAAATACTTCGGCGCGATTTTTAAAATCAACCAATTAAAAATTACCCATAAAATTGTGATTGATTATTTTTAAAAATCGCGCCAAAATGATTGTGTTAACTGTTTATTCTGCCATTTGAATTTTTGAAGGAATGAAAATTCTATCAATTAGAAATTTTGTTAAATGATTTTTCGGTTAACTATAAATTCTGCAATGTGGAAAATTGTTTATATAGAAATTCTTTTAAATAATAATTCAAACAAATGAAAATTCTATGCAATGAAATTTTACCTAATAAAAATTCATGATTCTGGTTTAATGGAAAATCTGTCAAAAAATAATTCGAACAAATAAAAATTCTGTTAAAAGAAAATGTTATTTTATGAAATTCTATGAAATAGAAATTCTATAACAAATTAATTTTTGTCAATATTCATGAGTCTCATGAATATTAAGTCAGTGGTTAATTAGTTGAAATATATAACAAATCTAGAAAGCAACTTACTGCTGAAAAAAATTATTTTAGAAAATTAAAATTTAATAAAAAAAAGCTTTTTAAAAATTCCGTTAGTTTTTGGGGTCGCACTAACCCCTGGTTGACTGGAAGCAGGTAAGTCTCTTTCAAAGCGGATGGAATGAGTTTCTAAGTTGACGGACTGCTCTCGCTGAAGAAAGACCTACCTTTTGCGCATCGTGGTGCAAATAAAGTTAATAAAAAGCAATTTTTTGATATCCAATTATGAATAATTCAAAGCAACTTGTGATCCGATTAACGAAGATACCAGTGTTACAGTGGCTTGCATTAGTAGAAATAGTGAAAGTTAATGATGAGAAAGAGAGTAAGGTAAAAGAAAAGGAGCAACTGATTGTTCCGTGTAACAAAATTAAACACTTTAAAGTAAAAACTTATTTAAACGATTTTCAAAAATTAAAGTTTAAATATTTTAAATTAAAATGTGATGAAAATGAAAAAATTGATGGAGAGAAGGTGATAGAGCAGCGCTTTTGCTACATATTAAAAATTTCTGGTAAGTGTCAAACACAATAATGAGTAATATTGTCTTTTATTTGCAGAGAAAAAACGAAACGTATGAATAATGCCTAAAATTAGTATGTTAGAATTTTTATTTGATAAAACTTCATTAGATGGAATTTTCTTTAAGTCAAAATTATATTTGTTCAAATTGTTTGTTGACAGAATTTCCATATAACAGATTTTTCATATGACAAAATTTGTATATATTCGAATATTTACTTCATAAAATTTCTATTTGATCAAATTTTTATTTAAAATAATTGCTATTTAAATGAATTTATATTAGGTAGAATTTCATTGCATAACATTTTCTTTCAGACGAATCTTCATTTGTTCGAATTATCATTTGACAGAATTTATATATTACTGAATTTTCACTTGTAACTAATAAAAATTTATCTGAAAGAAAATTATATCTAATGAATTTCTATAAAATAAAAATTCTAACAAATTTATTTTAGACATTAATCATGCGTTTCGAAAAAACAAGATGTTTTGATTAGAATTAATATCATTAAAGTTTTCGTCAGGTTTAAGAAAGGACGTATAAAAAAGATCTAAAATTAAATCATTAATTAATTTATTATGAATATTCAATAAAAAATAAACTAACCCGCATTTACTGTTTTGGTTATACAATTCTACTGTAATAAAAAATTTTGCAATACATACCTCTTGCAAAAAACATGTTTTTGAAAATTATTTCTCTCTCGATTTCTGTGCATAATATAATATATTATTCTTAAAAATCATGGACAAAGTATTTTTCAAATATTATTTTTAGAAAAAAGCGTCTTTTTATTCTCGTGGAACCCTTAAAAATATTTTATAATTTTATTGCTGGGAAAACCCATAGCACCTATTGATTTCCGCCATTCTAGTCTCTTTGTCCTTTTACTATGGCAAGGATTGTCCAGATGTGAAAAAGGTATATTGGTACGGCCACCAGAACGAGATGTAGACTAAGATTAGTAAAGTAGTCAGTGATTGTTTGTGTACGTGTTTACACTTTTTCTATGTTCTGTAAACGTCACTAAACTCAGGTCTAGATCTTTCGGCGGGCAGTCGAAGTGATGATCGACCCTTACGGGAGTAGACAATGACAAATAACAACTTAATGCTTGCTTAAGTTTAAGGGTTTTATGATTATAAATAATATCAAAGACAATATATTCTATTCTTAAAAATACTTTCTTTCAGTAATAAAATGAAAATTTATTAAATAATAATTCTGTAATATAAATTTGGTTAATAGGAATTTCTATTAAAAAATAATTGGAAGAATAAAAAATTTGTTAAAAATAAAATCCAGTCATTGAAATTCTGTGATATGAAAATTTAAAAAAATAAGATGTTCATTTCATGACCATATAGCTTCCTCAACATGATACACTAATTTTCAAGATTAAAAGAAAGATTACAACTAAAATAACGATGAATTATATAAATACTGCTAATTAAAAACTTTAAATACATCAATCGATTCGTTTTCATGCCAGGAATACAATTTGAACAAAAATTAATTAAAATTTCTATTTAAGAAAAAGTTATTTCAAAAATTACAATAAACGATTTTTTAAAAATAAAAAACATGATTTAATCTATAGATTTCACTAAAATATGAACTATATATAGGTTAATCGATTCGTTTTAATGCAAGAAATAAGTTTTTTTTAATAAACAAAATTAAATTTACAGTGGAAAATTTTTTTTAAAAAATTGAAAAATATTTTGTAACAAATACAGTTAAAATTTTTTGGGAATTTCAAAACAATCTAATTTTTTAAGATTTAGAAAATTTAAATAATAAGTAAATTTTACGAAATTTATAAAAAATATGAAAAAGTTCTACAATCTGAAGTCTATATTATGCATTAGTAACTGTTTTGTTTAATTTTTAATAAAAAAATTAATGATTTTTATGTAAGGCTTACTAATTTAAAAGATGCTTTGCACCATGAAAAATATCACAGAAAATTATAAGGTATTTAAATAATCGTTGCAGCTTTAATGTCTTTTAATTTTCTGTGATTTTATTGGCGTTTATTTGAGACAAATAAAATTTAAAAAAACAAATAAAAATATATTTGTGTCAGAGCCTAATATGTTCTTATTTGTTTTAAATAAAAATAAATTTTCGTTACAAAAAAAATTTATTCATTTATTTAGATCTATTTCTATCGCTAAATTTACTAGTTTTATAATGTACTCTTTCAAATATAAATTAGTGAGAAGTAGTGAACTAATTATTATATAATTCATTATAATTAATAAACACTTAACCTTTTAATATGAACAGAAAATGCTGACGAACTACAGCGGTTTATGGGTAAACGACTTAAACCACCAAGCGTCAGATTTTTGACGTACATTACGAATTGCGAATCTCCTGCTGAAGAAGCCAGTGAGAACGAGACCAAAGAAATGCCTTCTAAAATAGATTCTTTGGTATGTATATATTTGATGTTAATGATATATCACAGTAGAACTCATTGAAGATTTCTGTAAGAAAACCTTGAACTTTACTTTGTGTAAATCTTAATTAGTTAAAAATAACTAATTGTTAGAAAAATCGTGACCAATGTTTTATTATAAAATTACTTATTTTTGATTAATGCTGCAAGTTTCAAAAAAACTTGCAATTGCGTTTTAATTTTTTAAAAAATTTGGTTCATTTAATGTTATTTTTTTAGGCGAAGGCGAAAAAAAATAACATGGAGGAGAAAAAAAGGAAAGATAAGTTACAAGAAAAACTTTTCAAAAAACTTGAAAATAAGGATAATGACATGGTAAATGTTTCGGTTCATGAATGGACTCAAAAATCTTCAAGAATATGCGTCCTAGAACAAGATAATAAAACCTTAAGAAGTCAATTAAAGGAAAAAGATGAAAAAATTAAAAAGCTGGAGGAAAACTTGCGCAGGTGTCAGGAAATTGTCGAAAACCAATTAAGTAAATAAGTCATATCAATATATATTCGTTGTACATACTTTTATAATTGTATAATAATAATGCTCAATTATTTTGAATTTTTAGGTGAAGTACTTGAGAACACAAAACAGTCTTCGCTTAAAGGAACTTCTAATAAAATGGAGATAAATGAAATTCCGAAGGGAAAAGTAATTATAAATTAATTTTAATAAAGCATATAAAATATTTAAACAATGAAATTTACAATTAAAATTTTTCAGCGTTGGTTTACTTACCCAGTTGGCACGAAATCTTGCAGCAAATTATAAAATACCCTGACTACGACAATCTTGCAAAAAGATTCTTTGTCTTTTGTAGTTAGTTTGCAGCAAGTTTACGTCCAAACTAAGTAATACCTATATTCATTTGAAGACTTTAAATTCAGTCCGTTAAACGATAATTTTAATAAAATATAGAGCACTAAAATTAGAAAACAACTTTTTTGTTACTTGGGTTGTTAAAAATCAAAATCCAATAATGCTTTTAACATATTAATCAATTAAAAATGCTTGTATTTGCAGGTGAACCTCGGGTACGGTGTACTTGTTGACGAATTAGCACTACAATTTCTAAAAACCAGGAGTAAAATTTATACACCTTCCATTATAGCGCGGCAGTTAGTTCTCTTGATATTCGACAACGAAGAAATTATAAATAGCAGCATAAGTGGCAAACAATGCAATTTAAACAAACATAAAAATTATTCCAATCGTCAACAGCTGAATCAATTAAAATATATGGCTTTACGAGGTAAGTTTAACTTGCAAAATTTTTTAAATAATTATATAGAATTTTTGTATTCCTAACAATAAATTAAAAATATTTTTTTAGATGAGTTCGAACGGATTTTAAAAGACGTGAAGAACATGAAAGAAGCAGACGTAGAAAAAGAACTCAGAAAATTAAATTTTAATGTGGCGAAAAAAATTAATTATGAAAGGGACCAACTTCTGAAGAATGGAGAGTTTAAAGAAACATCGACAAGTAACTTAATTTCAAATTTGGAAAATGTCCATCCTTCCACTCAAGATTCATTTATTGAGTTACCATTGTCACCTTCTGTCAGTAATGACGATTGTGGAAAGGAAATTTTTTCGAATTCTAAAATTATGTTACTTCCAGAAGCGAAAAACAGAGTGTCTGTCATAAGAAGAATAAGTGACTTTGATAAATTACCTAGCAATGACAACGAAGAATTACTTGAAGTAAGAAATGAATCTTATGCTATAAAACCAAATGGTAAACCACAGCCTGTAAACATTAAAGTGTTTCTACCAAAGAGAAAAATTTTTGACTACATGGAGGATAACACACAATTGCCATATAAAAAATATAAATTGTCAGAAATGATGCCATTGATTAATAATAATATTTTCAGTTACTAATTTTTTTAATTTGGTAGTTAAATTAAAGCAATTTGTTAAAATTACAATTAAACAACTGTTATTTTGTTTAAAATTTTAATTTCATAAAATTTTTCGTTTTTTATAACTCTCTGTAGAAGAAGCCCCCTGTAAATTTGAAATTGATCGGTAAAGTAGTTTCTGAAAAATCTTGGACACCGAAAAGAAAGTATAAAATTTTTTTTAAAGGGAGAAAGAATACTTTATAACACATTTTTATTATAGAAATATTAGAAATCTTTTAATTTACAAAAATATTTGTAAATTATATTAAATAATTAAAATCAAAATCCTTAATTTTACTTCAACGATACTGTATCACAATGTTAATCATGAGTGTGTCCAGCAAGAAGTAAAAAAAATTCCCTGACATTTTCCTAACCTTCTTCCAACTTTGCTCTAATAAATATTTAATATTAAAAAAATGGAAAGTATTAAATATTAAAGTATTTTTAAGATAATAAAAACATTTTATTTATTAGCATTATAAACTTTTTCTTTAACCGAAAAATTTAAAAAGTTCATAAAAATGTTCATTTTTAACAAATTTTTAAAAAGTTCTCTAACTTTTAATTAAATTCCCTGATATTCCATGACTTTTCCCTGACTAAAAAGTTTCCCTGACCGCTGGACACCCCGATTATTGTAATTATACTTTAAAAATATATTGATCGCATTTATTAAAATAATAGCTGTTTATATTAGTTGTAAAAACTAATTCATTTTAGGAACAAATTGGTTTTTGAAATCTTCGTAATCAGCATTAATTTATTCAATAACATTAATTTATTATTATGCATATAGTATTGATATAAATTTTGTTTTTTATTGCAAAATAGTAATATATAATATGTTGAAATCAATTATATCAATGATTATTATAAAATAATTATTATAAATTTCTTAAAAAATTGGTTATTGTAAAATATTGTGTATGTGTATTGATTTAGAATAAGAATATTTCTTAATTTAAAAATTATTTAGTATTGTAAGAAAAATGTAATTGTAAAAACTTCGAAAAAGAGTTTATCTTTTTGTACTAAATTAATTTATAATTATGTATAATAGTTCAAAAATTATTTTTTGTATACCTATATGTTATATACACTGTGTTATAGTTAATTATGTTAATCGTTTTAAGATTAATTTAAAATGTATAATGAAATGTTTGAACAATAAAAATAAAAAATATGATTATATACATACAGTTTTATTTATTTCGATATCTAAATTTCATTCAATACCTTTTTCAATATTTAAATAAAGTAAATGTTTTTAGGGTGGTTAGTACATTTTTAAAATTTCAGGGATTCAATGTTTTCAGAATGGTTCTTATTTATAATACCGTTAGCTTTTGGTTTTTAAAAATTAAAAGGCAACCCTCCTGAACCGCAATAAAGTGACCCTTTTGCAGGTAAATTTCCCAGTACCATTCCAGTACAAAAATGCACCAAATCGGTACTGAGTTGGTACTGAGCCCTCAGTTCCGATTCCCCAGTACCAATTCAGTACCACTCTTTCGGTAGGGATCAGAGAGGTTAACAATTTTCTCTAAGGGTTGAACTATAGGTTTAAAAGTTTTACTCAACACATTTTCAACAGCTTCTTTTCCAATTTTTAACATGCGATGTTTCCGTCTAATGGCCTCACTAGCTTTGGCAATTTAACGGAGATACTCTTTCTCCTTACGAAACATGTTGTTAGTTCAAAGACGTACACTAGACTAATACTCACGGAACCAATCACCTTCTATTTATTGTGTTATGAAGCAGTCAAAACCTTTCCTATATCTCCCCTCATTTAGATTGCTGTCTTTATTAATGACTACGAAGCCATATTTATCAGAGTTCCAACATGTTGAACAAAGCTCACGAAACTTGGTAAATGTCATGTCTGTATAAATCAAAATGGCGGATTCAACATGGCGGATAAAATTGAAAAAATTGACCCAATTCGTTTCAAACTCGCTTTTTGAGGGTTTTTGGTTATTTTTTTAAATTCGTCCACCATATTGGATCCATCTTTGAATTTTTAGAAATTTCAAATATCTGACTCGAGATTCATAATTAGTAACCCCAAAAACCCTTGAGAAGCAAGATTAAAACGAATTGGGTCAATTTTTTAAATTTTTTATGCCATGTTGAATCCACCATTTTGAATTATGAAAATTTTAAAAATCTGCCTTCAGATTCGTAATCAGCGACCCGAAAACCTCCGAGTAACAAATTTCAGGCGAATCTAACAATTTCAAAAATTTGTCCGCCATATTGGATCCGACATTTTGAATTTTTGAAAACTAACACCGGATTCGTAATCAGCGACCCCAAAAACCCCGAGTAACGAGTTTCAAGCGAATTGCATTAGATTTTCCAAAAGTCGTCCGCCATATTGGATCCGCCATTTTGAATTTTTGAAAACTAACACCGGATTCGTAATCAGCGACCCCAAAAACCCCCGAGTAACGAGTTTCAAGCGAATTGCATTAGATTTTCCAAAAGTCGTCCGCCATATTGGATCCGCCATTTTGAATTTTTGAAAACTAACACCGGATTCGTAATCAGCGACCCCAAAAACCCCCGAGTAACAAATTTCAGGCGAATCTGAACGATTTTAAAAATTGGTCATTTTTAATATTTATTTATATATTTTTTTAAACAATAGAAATTTTTAGACATCATCTGGTCTAGAAATTTTGAAAGCACTATTCCTCCTGAAGAAAATGCCTCAAAGCAGACTTAGAAATATTAATTTTGTTCAGAGTTATTGAGGTTTTTGTAGGTGGGACATATATGTCCCATGGGAACGAAAAGGTTAAACATTTTTTATAAAAAAAAAAATTAATTTAAAAATACAACAACAGCTTTAAACATATATATTATATATTTAATAAATAAATATTTAAGAAAACTATTATGATCATACTGATTGATGTGAACGCCATCTATTGGGTTGTTGGTAAACTAGGTCAATATAAAAGTTTTAAATTATTTTGAAAAAATATATAATAAAAACAAAGTCAAGGACACAGAAAATGTGTGGAAGGCAAACGAACTTCAATGTTTGGTCGGTAAAAGAGATTAAGTATCATTGCACATGCGTAGTATACCCTATCTACCTCATTAAGATATTTTCATTATATCACGTCACAAAAACAAGTCTCGACATGTTTAATTAGGTCGCAACATGTTTTTTTCAAAATTTTAAAAATATAATTCGTAAAATATTTTAAATACGCAATCATCCATTGATGACTCTTACTTCGCATGCGCGATATGCTGATTAACTCTAGTGATCTCTGGAGGGGCTCCCCATCCCTCATGCAATGCCAACTATTGCACCATTCCATTTTTGGATCACTCATGTGGCTCATCTACAACAGATTATGTGGATTAACGAGAGCAGTCCGACTTTTAAAGGCAGTGCCCTACCACTAACGCAGGCAAGGAGCGACGCGCGCCGCTGCCGGGTGGGGGAACTACTCGTGCGGCTCCACTAGCGCGGCACCGTACACAACTAGCTCGTACGCTCGGTCTACCAGTTACCAACGATCGAACAAGCGAGAATTTTACCATGAGGTAAAGAGCGCAGCACCGTTGCGCGGAAATAAAATTAAAAAAATTATTTTAAGAAAAAATAATATCTAAAAATACAAAGTCGAAAAGAAAGGTGAGCGCCACCTATCGGGTAAACTAAGTCGGTCGGTAAAACAGTTTTAATTGAAAAATAATTTCTAAAAAAAGTTGATAATAAAAGTGAGCGCTATCTTGGGTGGCTGGTAAACTAATCCGGTAAAAAAGTTTATAACCTCAGACTGAAGTGAGCGCCATCTATTGGGTGGCTGGTAAACTGATTCGGTAAAAACGTTTAAAACCACAGACTGAAGTGAGCGCCATCTATTGGGTAGTCGGTAAACTAATTTCCATGTTCAGTAAAACAGGTTGAGAATAATTTTATTTTTAATTAAAAGGTTAATTAAAGTCGGTAACACTCTGAAGTGAGCGCCATCTATTGGGTGATCGGTAAACTAACTTCAATTTTCGGTCGGTAAAACAGTTCCCTACCTTATCGGTCGAGTTGAAATTTTTGTCAGATTCCTACCTTACCGACTGCTGATAAAGTAGAAATAATATAGGTAGAAATAATATAGGTGTGTACGACGACATCTACGCACCGTTGCATCGATTGCGCCGGAACATCGCCTATTTTAATATTAAATATGTCTATTAAAAAATTATTGTTTTCCCACTTTTATATTTACGTAGCTTATTGGAATAAACCTCAGCTTTCCAATGAAAATAAAAAAAAGTTTAATTCCCGAAGGGGTGAAATTCGAAAAATAGGCATTGATTTAAAAAAAGAGGTGAAAAGTTTTTTTCTTTAATTTCGTGTACATTATTGAAAAGTACGTGAAAAATGCTTTAAAATGCATTATACATAAATTAAAATCCGTTGACTTTAGTCATAGTTATAGGAATTTGAAAATTACAATGTTACCGAAAACATCAAAACTTCAACCCCTTCTACTTTCTACAAATTTTTATTTAATGAATTAATATTTTAGGGATTTATTACTTTCATATACATGACAACAATTTACCAAAGTATCAAGCTGTTAAAAATAAAACGCCACCCTGTATATTACTTTTATGTTAAATTTTCCATTTTTTTAATGTCCTTTTGTGCATTGTCTGTAAAATTTTGGACGCCCCTTAAATTGTTTACCTGCTTAGAATAATAAGTCTTAACCTTATCTCATTCTTTCTACCTGCATAAGATGCCTTGAGCTCCTTCGCCCTTTTTCTCCCTTTTTTCGAATAGTTTTTTTCTAACCAGCAGTTATAATATTTCCATCAACATGAGAAGACCAGTTTTATAGTAGGTACCAGGATTTCCTTTTAGTCCAGTCCAGTTAGCATTTTTAGATGTTTTAACTCAGGACCTCAATTTTTTTACTTAAATCCTTCATTTTAGGGTAAAAAACTACCTAAATTTGGTACTTCGAAATCCTACCGGAACCAAAAATTTTTTTAAGGAATAGGTGCAAAAAGTCAGTTTTTTCAAATTTGCCATCTTTCATGACATTTTAGCATTAAAATATTTAATATGAAAAAGAAAGTATAAAATTCTGAGTAATTTGATAAAAAAATGAAGCTATCAAAATTTATGACAATTTACAAAAAAGAACAATGCAATAGCTCTAATAGTTTCCAAGATACAGTCTCTCAAAGTTGACCCATTTGAGGTTTCACATAGAATCTCATTTTATTACTATTGTATGTAAAATATCAAAAGGGTCAACTTTGAGAGACTATATCTCGGAAACTATTGTTAAAATCTCGAAAAAAGTGGGTTCTTTGCGGAAGCTATATCTCGGTCAATTTTTGAGCTACATGGTTCATTTTTTAAAACAAATTACTCAGAATTTTATACACTTTCTTTTTTATGCTAAAATGTCATAGAATGCGGCAATTTGAAAAAAAATTATTTTTTGCACCTGTTTCTTAAAATTTTAGGTTCCCGTAGGAGTTCGAAGTACCAAATTTAGGTACTTTATTTTTACCACAAAATGAAAGGTTTAAGCAAAAAATTGAGGTCCTGAGTTAAAACTTGTTTTTCGACTAATTTGACTGGACTATTTCTCTGATCTGGATTTCAAAAAGGTTTTCAGTGCCATCTTCCTTGACGATTTAATTTATATCAGCTTCATTTGGTGAGACTACTCCAACTTTTTATCATTATATATATATATATATATATATATATATATATATATATATATATGTGACCTGGACAGTTAAAAGGGACCTTTTGTTCGAAAAAATTAATTTTTTATTGATTGGTGATTCTGATAGAAAAAATTTTTCTTTATCAGAAACACCAATCAATAAAGAATCGATTTTTTCGGACAAAAGGTCCCTTTTAACTGTCCAGGTAACATATATATATATACACTACCGTCCGAAATTGTGCGAACTCTGCTTTTTCAACAACTATAAAACTGTTCAAATCTTCAAAAATATTAAAACTAAAATTTTGTCCTCTTTATTTTATTAAAGTTAATAAAATTCTGAAAGAAATGACACCTTGACAAAGAGAATATGTTAATTTTTGCAATTAGATATCTAAGAAAAACCCAATTTTCAATGTTTCTACTATTTTTTTTATTTCTCTGGCAAAAATTAATATTTTTAAACGTTCTTAGGCTCATTGAAATCGTATTTTGTTATGCAATTCAAATTATATAAAACAATTCATGTACACATTCTTCCCTAGCGTATGCAAACCGTGAAAGTTGGCTCATAAAATGTCAAAAAATTGTGATTAATATTTATATGACAAAAAATTATCAGTAAAATGTATAAATCTTAAATTTACTTACATAAATCAGAGAAGTTTAGAATGATATATTTACTTCATTTTTAAACATTATATTTTATTGTAGAATTAAATTTAAATTTTTTGACATTTTATGAGCCAACTTTCACGGTTTGCATACGCTAGGGAAGAATGTGTACATGAATTGTTTTATATAATTTGAATTGCATAACAAAATACGATTTCAATGAGCCTAAGAACGTTTAAAAATATTAATTTTTGACAAAGAAATAAAAAAAATAGTAAAAACATTGAAAATTGGGTTTTTCTTAGATATCTAATTGAAAAATTAACATATTCTCTTTGTCAAGGTGTCATTTCTTTCAGAATTTTATTAACTTTAATAAAATAAAGAGGACAAAATTTTAGTTTTAATATTTTTGAAGATTTGAACAGTTTTATAGTTGTTGAAAAAGCAGAGTTCGCACAATTTCGGACGGTAGTGTATATATATATATATAAATAAATATATACCTAATATACTTTTTCCTTTTGTTTGTGTTTTAAAACGTTCATTTGAATTTGATTGATCACCTCGAGCCCGTTTTTTCTTTGTTGATCTCCTTTGACGAGTTGTGTAAGATAGGAATAGAGCGAGTCACCCATCGCCGTTTTGATACTTACTTTTCTGCCTTAAATGATGATTGGCAAGAATTCACCAGTAATCATAAACTGATCATTGCTGAATCAGCAACAAATGTTAGAAGTGAGGCAAAAGAATTTATATTTCAATGATAAATAATTTAGAAACACAAGAAGTAGGGGAGAGTAGGGAGTTGAGCCTCGAGGGGAGTCGTGCTCCACCTTAATTTTTTTATTATGGCAATTAATATGACAAATTTCAACTATTGGCATATTCTTTGCTCGTTAAGAACTAACTTTTTAAATGGTACCCGTCATCTTTGGAAGCATTTTTCGTGTTTTTACAGATAGTGAGTTAAAATTTTTTTCAACAAATTTTTTTTGTTTCTTTATGTTTAGGTCATTTTCACTAATTTTTTCAAAGTGATCACAATGTTTAATGCATAAAAATTAGCTGTCATTAATAACTTTCGACGTACAAAAAATTCACATAAACATTCGATGTATTAATTATTCTATGACTATTTTGAAAATGTAGAAAATGGGGAGTTGTGCTCAAGCGTTAGTGGAGAGTTGTGCCTTACATCATATTTAATAGTTTTTAATTTTAATACGCACACTCTATTTTTATTTCGCATTATTTATGAATAATTAGAATGTTTTATGCAATTTAAATATTGTTCTTTAGTGAAATGAGACTTTTTACATCTGTATTCACTGTAAATGAAATTAATTACCTATTTTCATTCAATTATTTTTAAAGTAATTTAGTTTAATCTAAATTATCTAAGTTATCTAAAATTAATCTTTTATTATCTTATCTGTTACTTTATTTCATGTAAGTTATCTTACTTTTTTACATTTCATAATTTAAGTAAAGAATATTCTAAAAAATATGTGTTTTTCTTTAATTTTCAACGGTGGAGCACAACTCCCTACTGCTTTTGAAAAGTCATAAAACCAGTATTTTCGAAAAACAAGCAAAATTTCTATTTCCGTTTTAAATTTTAATTAATAAATTATGCCAAAAAATGTGTTTGTACGTGTACTAAAAGTTCTATATGATAGAATAGTCAAAAAATAATTTATGTAATAATTTTGATCGAAAAAGATAAGCTGGAGCACAACTCTCCACTTTCCCCTACCTTTTCAGAAATTTATGAAAAAATGACTACACTTTTTGATTCTATTAAAACATCCACTTTGCCTGATCCAAATTTAAGTATTGATTCGCCTCAATTATCCTCGCTTACCACGTTTATATTTGCCTAAATTCGATAGCAGCCACCCAGAATTGGTTAATCTTTAATAACTTGGTTTTCTTCTATGGTTGTTAACAATCGTTCTTCATCTGCGATTGAGAAACTTCATTACCTTCGAACCAGCCTTCAGACCAGGCCTGTAAGATCTGTTACTTAAACACACTGCCTTTACCGGTAGTAATTTTAAAAAGCCCTGTACTGATGTCGTTTCATACTATAATAATAATAGAATTCCAATCGACTCTACTCTACATTCGCTATTTTCACTGAAACGTATACAGAAAGAGTCGGCCACAGCACTAGAAGAACTGTACACTACATTTCAACAAAACATTCGTTCTCTGAAAGTGTTGAATCAACCAGTTCAACACTGGGATTCAATTTTAGTATATCTTGTTACTTATTGCCTAGATCCTTAGTCCATCAGAGCTTGGGAATCGGAACTCAGTTCTTTCACTGACTATCCCAAAAATACTCCGTCCTCATATTCTTACGTCTATGATAAAGCCATTTAAAATCACATGACAGTTATTTCGACTACAAATATATTATTAGTCCAAATAAATTCTATTAAATACAATATTTAATATTCCTTTGTAGCAGCAAACGCTATGGGAAAATAATATGCAAACATCACCAGTAATTAGTAAAGCAAGCTCAGGACAAGCAACAACTAGTCAAGGTTCAATGGCTTCAGGTAGAGCTGTTAATTCTTCAACACACACGATTAATCAATCTCGACTAATTTATCTAAATGAGAAAGAAAAACCAAAAGTAACTCGAACTGAGATTCCAAGAATAGGTAAACAACATAAAGGTAATTTGCTGCTATTAATTATAGATAATAGTCATCCCTGTTGAAAATTCCTATGTGAGAACACATATGGGATCCCATCCAGGATCTCTTGTGAGTTCTTATGTGGGTTCCCATACAGGTTCACACATAAGATCCTGTATGAAAAGGTTCCTGGGATGAACTTGCGTGAGATCAAGCGCACGATCTTATGTCTCTGTAAAAGCAATAACACAGGATCCCATGAGGTTTCCTGTGTAGGTTCCTATATGAACAACACGATAAATAGGAACATACATGGGATCTTATCCGAGATCTTGTATGAGTTCTTACATAGGTTCTCACATATAAGAAGATTAATAGCAGCTTAATAAGATTTTATATAAAATAAGATTTTATATAAAATCTAATTAAGCTTCTATTAATCTTCTTATATGTGAGAAACTATGTTTAAAATAATTTCACTGCACATATTAAATGCTTTTTTGTGATTTTTTAAATTGCTTCAAATTTAAGGATTGGTATTGGACATGATTATAGCACAGGTCTACAAGATTTTTTTTTTAGACATTGGAGTGATTTCTAATGTATTTTTGTATCCTGAACACGATCCTGGGTTCCAAAATTGCGTATCAAGACAGGATTTTGAGTAAAGTGGGGGTAGCCTCCAAAAACTGTGTTGTTTTCAAGGGTTTTTAGTATTTTTTTTCTCCTTAACCTGACGTGATAGAAACTTTTATATAGGTGTTAAAGATGAATTTTGAATATTAGAAAATTATTTAATATCAATCAAAGATTGATATTTTCTAAAACTCTAAAAGACTTTGGTACTTTAACACACGTTGCCCTTCGGACAAATTATATTGTAAAAGGTAGTGGATCCCTTCCTTACCTCACTATTATTCAGTGAGTTGGTTGAGAATCCATATTAATCAGAACAATTGGTTAGGAATAATTTAAATAAAAGATCAAACAAATATTTAATTAATTGTATATAAATATATATTGTGTAATAGCTCAAATAATACAATATTAGAGTATTCTGTATTCTAATACAATTTACGTGTGAATGTATGTATGTGTAATAATGTTGTGTGTGTATTGTGTTAAGAGTCTCTGAACTCTTACGTATATTTACCTTTGGAATTCCTCGTGTCTCAATTCAAACGTTATTTCAATTCTCCAATTTATTACAGTTATTTAATATTCTCTTTATCTCAATCAATTATGGTAAACAAAACTCAATAGAAAACATAAACTCAATTACTATTTATTTTCAATCTTAATTTCAAAACTAAGTGATCTCAAAAGAAACTCATTTATATACTCTTTAAATCAAACTCAAAAAATCAGATTCTCTTTATTCAACTACTTCAATTATCAATTCTTTGTAAAACTCAATACTCTTAAATCAAATTACAATTCAATACTAAATACTCTTCTGTCAAAAATCTCAACTCAAAAATAAATACTTTAAATAATCCCAACTCAAAAATCAAAACTCAGATAAAACTCGATAAAACTCCAAATGGAAACAACCTCAAAACTAGAGGTGTATTTCAAAGAGTCTCTCACTTAGAGACTCAAACTCCAACTTAAAACTCTCAAAAAAACTCCAAGCTCTACACTGAGCTCACTCTCAATCTCCCACAACTCACAACTGACTAAACAACCCTGGTCTAAGGGGTTGTTACACCTGTCTCACTCGGAGACCACACTTGGAAGACGTCGATCTTCGTGTGTCAACTGATTTTATTAAGTTGACTTTTGGTGGGGAAAAGAATATTTTATTTAACAAATTTATTGTTGTCAATGTTTTTTTTATTGCAACCTTGCAATATTGGGGTAGTGTTGCAGTTCAGTTTGAATGGACATACCTTGGATGCAGCAATGTTTATTGCGCCATCCTTTGTTTCTTGAATGAAATTAGTTCACTTAGTTTCTCAATTTTATCATGAATTTTAAATAGGTCTTCTTTAAAATTTAGGTTATTAATTGAAAGTTAATATTTAATATATAGTTATTTGGACATCTCTAAGAGATTCTAAAGGCATTTCTTATAATGTTTATAAAGTGTTATTTGTTTGTGTTGCATAATGTGTCCTCTTTTTCAAGTATTGTATTAATGAATTATTAATAAGAAGTTACGAAATTCATACGTAACAATAGGCTTAAATTAACTCTTTAATAGCCAGTAGAACACCCCTTCAAAAACAGCAAAAAAACCGCTGCTAACAAGGAACACTACCCAGGTGTACATTACCTATTTCCCTCATCTTGTGATATGTTATAGTTCTTTGAAAAATATTCGACACGTATATTTTTATAAGTGCCCTATCGCAAATTTAAGGTGTGAAAACTGCCTCTAAAGTTCACCCCCAAGAATCGTTTTTTGTGATTTTTAACAAAGCAATAAGGATTGCTTTCTTTTTTCAATTGCATATTGTAGGGCTCTCAAGAACACTCCCAGACATAAGTCAGACACGATAGGGGGTGGCGTTATTAGGGTGATATCGGGGTAAAACTTGTTTTTTTAAACATCTGTAAAGAAGATTCAAAAATAAAGTTGACGTATTTTTGGAAATTCCATGAAAAATATATTTAAGGGTGTAAGCACTCCTTCATTATATAAATATGTATAATTTGTAACATTGAGCAATGTCTAAAACATATTACCCCACATGGAAAGAAAAAATCTAAAGAATATTTTAAACTTGTATTGAAAAGTTGAACGAAAGTGGATAATTGCAATATTTATTTGATTTCCTAACGTTTGTTTTAAGATTTTCAATCAATTTTATTATGTGTATGATAAAATGTTTGAGACGTATTAAGAAAATTGTAGCTAATAATTATTATTATACAATGAAAAAAATACTTTCAAAAGTACTAAAATTAATATTATACTCTACGAAACTATTATTATACAGAACCTAAACTTTTTTAATACTTATATGAGAAGGATGATTCTAGATAAATTTCCAATACAAGTTTAAGAAAATTATCATACTGTTTAAAAGACTTTGTAGAATTGCGCATGCATCAGTTTTATTCTGAATGAAAAATATCATTGACTATTATACAAGCTCTTCCAGCGTGCTTTGTGTAGTTAGTTGGTTAGGGTTGCGATCTATCAGTTTTAGGGTGTGCGTTGAATTCCCAGCGTTCGAAGATTTTTTGTTAGGTAGGCGATTATTAAGTATAAATAACCGTTAGCGATTATAATGTATGTAAGTGGTGAAGGAAAAACAAATTGTGGGTGCAATATCAAGATATATGGTGCTTCAATGAATTAAAATTCTGTGGTTGAAAGGCATAACAGCATAACTGACATTTTTATCAAATTTGAGATAACACTAGATTCTAGTACATTTAGTAATGCTTTCCAAAGATTCATAGTTGAAAAATAATTTATGTAACCATTTAAGTAGAAAATGATGAAAAACCTAATCGCATAACTGCACTTTTGGCAATAGGCGATAGGCATAAGCGCATAACTGCATTCAGAATAAAAAAACAATTGACGTAATCTACAAAATTAAAATAATATTTTAAAATAAAAATATTATTTATTTATTTATTATTTATTTTTATCTTATAATAAGGAATTTCAGAAAAAATAAAATTTTTTATTAGTTTGACTAATTTTTCGATTTTCTCTTTTCATTAATTCTTTTGAATCACAGGTATCTTCATTCTTCTCGATATCTTCACAAAAAATATTAAATCCATTTTGACAATTTATTATGACATGAAAAATAGAGTGAAGTTGGTTACATATTCAAACTTGAACAGCATAAACACATAACTGCAAAAAAACTTTCAATTTGACTAAGAATATATTAAATTTCATATGAATTCGTGCGTTTTATAAAATGTGATAAACGTATTTTAAAAATACAATTAAATAATGAGACTAAATGCCGAATACCAAACACATCCGTTGATTTTCTGATTTGACAGAGCTAAATAAATATTAAAACTCATTTTTCTCAAAATCGTGACAAATGCAGTTGTGCTGTTATGCCTTTCAACCACAGAATTGCAAAATATTTTTTTTAATAAATTTAATGTATGAAAAAAATTACTATACTGTCTTAAAAATGTTTTGAGCAATATGAAGATTCAACAATTTACTATCAAGTTAAACATTTATATACAGTATTAAAATTCTTTTTTTACTGATTCGACAAAATTACTATACTTCAAAAATATTTCAATGAATATGAAGATTTAATATTTCATACATAGATTTCGTATTTTAATACAGTATTATAATTTATTTAATATTAATCAAAACTTTAATCATATTAATCTTTATTTTCTTTAGACTTTCTTATAAGTTATTTCTCTGTTAATTTAAGATACAATATAAGATTTTTCTTTAGAATGCCACTTTCATCCAACATTTTAATACTCAGTATTAAAATATTTTTCAGACTTTTTCTTTCCGTGTATATACAGGGGTAACCCCTCTTCATACATAAAACACTAGCTAAACACATTTCGTTTCGCTCTTGTAGGAAAAATCTATAGAAATTGTCAGAAATATGCAGAATACAAAAATCTCCAAGCAATATCACCCCTTCATGGGGGGTGAACTACCCCTTTTCACATAGGGCAAATTTTTTTATTATTTTTTTTATTAAATAATATATCATAATTTAATTATAATATATAATATAATAAAATGAGTAGTTTTTTCTTTTGTCTAGAGTTATATCGAACTTCGCACCAAACATTGCTATCACCTCAAAAATCGAACTCAACAAGGTGCATAAAGTCAGGTGGTTTAATTAATGTGTAACAGCTCTTAAACCAAGAATATTTAAATAAATTTATACCCAGGGGATGACAATTGGTTATGAACTAAAGATTGTAATTTAATAATATGATTGCGTAAATGTAAATTCAAATCCTCGTTGATAAGTATTACGCTATCGGAGAAACGCCTACATATACACGTCCAAATGTTAAATCTTACCCGTTGTCTTTCCGGAATTCTTTTAACTATAATATCTTTT